TGTATAACATGTGTCCTCGAACGAGTAAAAATTTTACGATCAAGTTAAAGAAGTAGGTTAGGTGGCTGTCATAGAAATGTTTTCTTTAGACTGAAAATTTTTGGAGTTCATTTAAGAAATTAGGTTCATGGGAAAATGTGTAGTACTCATGACGAAACAAGTAAACATTGATGTATTGTCAATGATATAGAAAGCAAATCAACATGCTCAGGATAAATTTCGTGATAAAAATCTCAAATTAATGAAGTATCGGCTGGAAAATATTATGAAAAAGGTTTTTGATTGTCGCTGATGACAATGTATATGCAGTATATTGGGATACTGCGTGCTATAATAAGACCCAAAATGGGCACTAGCTAGATGATGATATAAAAGTGAGTGATTTATTGAACCAAAAGAGGTTATTCAGTTGTTGACCAATGAGTCAAAAGATATTTTCGCTGACGACTTGATCAGTGCATGAGTCACTGTGGATACCGCACCATCACCCTGTATCATTCAATACCTGTCGAGGCAAATAGCCAGGGGAGTAGTTGTTTCAGGAAATGGTCGGGAATAGTCGAATTGCATAGCGAGAAAAAGAGAGTTTTATGTGATATTATGAAGTTATTGATAGTATTGAATTTATGGAGTATTGGAGTTTGTCAATGTACAATGATGGTTTGTACAATAAAAGTTGTGCTGTGATGTGCAAAAGTAGGCCTATCGATAGTCAGGAATGCTCAAAGGTTTGATCACGCGGAATCCCGGAAAATGCTCTACATTGTAGGGGTATTTGAGCTATATCGAAAGAATAGGGTATTAGACAAATGTTTCAATAATTAGAGTAGGGATGAGAGAATCTATAGAGCTGACAAGACGAAAAGGCAAAAAGTTATGGCACATGTCGTGAATATTGAAAATATTGAGAGAAATGAGTATATATTATATAGTAAACAGTAGGTACCTCGTTAAGGTGACGAGATATATCGTGACAATGTGGGAAAAAAAAATCAAAGCCGAATGAAAAGTTATTTTTCAGATCGACTATTTTTGGGGAAAATATAATTTATTGAGAACATGATAATAATCAAATTTTTAGTATGTTTCAGGAGAAGTAAATGGACGTATGAAAACTACAGAGAAAAAAAAATGAAAATAGGTAAAAAAAAAAAAATTAAAAAATGTGGAGAACAGGTAGAGAAAATTTCAACAGCCACCTGAAAAACATAATTATAAGGTATAGGTGAAGTAGTAACTAAGTATCAAAGTAAGTATTTCATTTAGGAAAAAAAAAACGGAAGGACGTTGTTTCATGAAGCTAATGGAAAAATCGCGATATAAGTAGTTTGGAAAATCATGGTTATGAACTCATTTGAAATGTCAACATTAACTCGACTGCATTAAAATCTTTTAACGAAACATCGAAATGGAGTCACCAAATGATACAAAAATACAAAAAATTTAAATGAATTTCACAAAAATTTCCAATAATTCCATTGAGATAATAATGTATTATGGGAACAGGAATCATGTATTTTTTGAAAGGCAACCATCTCGATGCAAGACATTCGCTTATGAAACAATGGGAGTGAAAAGTTTTTTTCATTATTATTCAAAAAGGAAGGAATCACTAGTTAGTTCAAGTTTGCAATGTAGACCTTACAAGTCATTTCATTTTTAATCGACATAATATACACACAGGTATATTATTCACAAACAAAATTAAATTAATGGGGTCATTATTCGATAAGTTGTTATCATGATATCGGATGTCATAATACGGTTCAAGTTCAATCTTCAACAATATATGCAGCGGTGATATAAAATATGTTCTTAATAACATAAAAGATATATTTGATTGGTGAATTATAAATAATATAATGAAGCTGGGTAAAAATTATCTATGTATTGATATATTGAAAACGAATTTTCTCAGATAAATTATTAACATTTGAAAATGTAGGTTATGAATTGAAGAAGTCAATATTATTGACATTGAACTCAGATTGCGAATAACATGGAGTAAATGTCATCACCCAGGAGTTTTCAATTTGTAAAACTTTACGAAATATTGAAATAGCCATAGATGAGTCAGATGGGTGAATAGTGTTTTATAATTTCAGACAAACATTGTTTCTTCATATAGGTAAAAATGTAGACAAAGGTCAGCGAGAATAGTTGATTGATGAGGAGTTTGATTATATATGTTTAGAATTTTGTTTGTTATGCTGCAATAATTTCATTTTTTCGTTTCACATGTGGTCCCACACTCGAGAAGAGGCAATAAGTTGCCGATGTAGTCGGACTGAGTTTCACCGCATACAGGGTGGACCATGCAATCGTTCCTATGGGCATCACCAGTGGAGGAGGTACAAAAAAAGCATAGGGTACGGGTAGCGAACGTGTTCCGAAAATACAGCCATGGAGATGGAGCTACCAGAATCGAGGAGGCTATATAGATGACATTTGATGGAGACTATACCGTCAATGAGTTATCCAAGGATATGGCAGCCGTTGTAGCCGTTCAGCATCCCAAATCAGTCAAACCTTGCCGAGAACCTGACGTTTGGAATGATGTTGCCACTCCGAGTTTGGTAGCTGTCCAGGACAACTCCAGTCATCTAGTTAGATTACGTCACATAGCCACACCTGTAATCTATGGAGAGGCCAGTAACCATGCAGAGAACACACCAGGAAACCACGCTACGTCAGAAAGCCATATGCATTGTCAAAGTGTACAATGAGCCAAGCAGTCAATAGGGTATGCCTAGGAACGCCCGATGTGAAACTCAGAAACTACCCAGACTACCAAGCCATGGACCAGAGTGTGCGGATCGACTATTTTGATTTTTGTAATATTTGCAGTTAGGTTAGGTTATCATTATTTGTATTATCAATTCATTCACAAATAGGTATATAGGTAGCATTTCAACTATAGGTTTTTAGAAGGTATCTAGATAATATTTGAATAAGGATTTCATAAATAGACCCATCTGACCATTTTTCAACGACGGGGGCCGTCGTTTTCAGAGAAGGAGCATGTCACAAATGAGGAGATATTTGAAGTTAAATTCCAAAATTCTTATAAAATCATATTGGTTCGAAGTCATTGAACGTTCACGTATCTGTTTATCATTCCCAAAATTATTGAACCACGAACTTTCGATGTGTAGTTGAACATAAACACATTGACTTCAACGAACCAGGAATATCCACCTGACTTCCTCACTGTCACGTTTCCAAAATATAGATTGAACATATAAAAGGCGCGAGGAAGTCAGCACAGGTATCAGTTGGATCAGTTTCGATCATTTCGATTATTCGATCAGTTTCAATCATTTGCCACTGTGCCCGAATCTTCGGAGTTCGGGCAGAAGAAGATGCCCTTCCTCTAAGGTCCCAGCAATATAAGCTTTTAATGTACATATAGGGTAAGTTAAGTTTTTATTTATTGTTAATCATAATACAAAGAATAAATGTGTGTATGTTTTGTTGAAAACCTTTTGGAGTATTCTTTATTATTATCACTTTCAAAGTTCATTCTCTGATGGACCTAGAACACAACTTAGGCAACCCCCGCCTACAGTTTGTGACAGTATTTATTTCAATAAACCAAATGAGTATATTGTGAAAAAAAGATTTTGTAATGAAAATTGATATATAAAAATCCTGTAGATTTTTCATAAAGATTTTTAGAAGGATGTTTATACTGAATATAATGACATACATCAACTTCTCATAATGAAGATCTTATTCTTTCCAGTGTTGCATGCCAAAAACACTATTATAACCTGGGTTGCACTACTTCAGTGGAACATGAAATCAAAACCGGGGAGCTCCAAGCAGATATATTATTCTGTGAGCCTGGTTATGCAATCTCATAGTGATAAAGAACTCCCAAAATTGCTCGATGATGGTATTGTAGAACCTTCCACCAGCCCTTGGTCATCACCAATTCTTTTAGTGAAAAAGAAAGATAACACTTCTCGATTTTGTGTTGATAACACGAAGTTAAATCAAGTTACAGAACGTGATGCACTTGATAAGTTGAGAGATACAAAATTCCTGTCCTCTTTAGATATTAAATCGACCTATTTTCAAGTACTGTTGACCAAATCTTCGAAACCACTTACCGCTTTCAATGTTCCGAATCGTGAATTATTTTGCAGACTCCCTATGGGACTAGCGAATACTCCTGCTACGTTCCAGAGGTCGATAGACCGTGTATCAGGACTTGAATTAGAACCTCATGTATTTGTCTATTTGGATGACATTACAATAGTTACTCAGACATTCGAAGAGCATATTGGAATTTCAAAGGAAGTGTTCGACAGCTTGAGAGTTGCTAACTTGACGGTTTCGAAAAAAAGTGTCATTTTCGTAGGCCCGAATTATTGTATCTCGGTTATATTGTTGATGCTAATGGATTGAGAGCCGACCCTGAGAAAGTTCGTGCAATAGTTCTAGGGTGCCTGGGAAAAAGAGTACAAGTCAAAAAATGCTCAAAATGGGATAAGTCGCCTATGGCTCATTTTTAATAATTGTCTAACAGTTGGTGAAAACAGTATATGTCTATCTGCATCTTTGTCGCACTGACGGTCCATACACTCAAATAGTATAAGTATATTCGTTCGGTTCAAATAGTATGTGTCATCATATACTATCTCTACCAAACTAATACATTCATCATACTCGACTTGTTCTCTTTGGATATAACCTATGAAGTTTGACAGAAGGTACTCTTTCACATCAGTAATCTCGTCATTCGTGTAAACCTATAATAACCGATCATTATTGGCAATAAACAAAAAGTGAACTATTCGACAATGTAATCATCACGAACGCAGAAGATCGTTGAATCAGCGAGAAGAATAAAAGGTAAGATAAAAAAATTTGTCCCAACTCAAGCATGAATATGGTAATGATTTCAGATAGAAAAATTGATGACGGAAATACAAATCAACAGTCATCATATAATTCGATTTTCGAACTGAATCAAGATGAAATAGGTTGTCCAGAAGTTGCAGTGGATCAAAGCAGGTGAATGAAATCCATAACTACAGTGAATTCTCCGAAGACAATGATGATAGTGGGAAGCAGCCTATGCCAAGTGAATATGTATCAAATATAGTTGCCGGTGGATCCAAGCAGGGAAATGAAATTCTTAACTACAGTGACTTTTCTGAAGATGATGATGATAGTGACAAGGACAAAAACTACGACCCTGGAGATGCAGATGCTGTATCTAGTGAGGAGGATGCTGATGTTTCCAACACTGTTTCCCGAAGAAATCTAGCAAAAAGAAGAAGAACGGACGTCAGTGCTGCAGAAATATCTACATCAGAACCAAATCAACTGTCAGGAGGGAATACAAAAATGGTGTTTATTCTAGAAGAAAAAAGCTGAAAAAAAGCTAAAAGAAATACTGGAAAGAGCTATACAAACGCAAAAGGAAAAGAAGTGAAAGCAAGAAAGTCCCTATCTTTACCAATATGTCGCATGAAGTGTAAAGAGGAAATAGATATCAGTACTGATGGACATAAAACCATCAGGGAGCAGATCTTCGACGAGTATTGGTCTCTTGGTGATCGAAATGAAAGAGTGAATTTCATCGTTGGTCTTGTTGACACTAATGAGCCTGCCACATCAAGAAAAAGAACAACCCATTCAGAAAAAAAAAATATCGAATGAAAATTCATATTTTCCATTTGAGGGTAAATGACCACCGCATTCGTGTATGTAGGGGGTGTTTTATGAAAACTTTGAATGAAACACAGATGTTCATAACAACAGTGAAACAACAAAATGCCGAGATCCCATTTTGTTTTTCCCTCAATATAAATCGCATTATACAAGAAGAGAGAGTAGCAGGAGTTTTCTACCGCCACATTTGAATTTGCGCATTATGTATGATTCATATTGTGAGCAAATGAATTCTGTGCAGAAACCAGTATCTAGACAGGTATATGAAAGAGAATTTCATAAACAGAATTTGAGGTTCAAAGAGCCAAATGTAGATACCTGCCATAAATGTGAACTTCTGGTGATGAAGAGGAAAGTAGCTAGTGATGAGGAGGAAGGTAATATTGAATTAGAACTTGCTGATCATCATGCACAAGCAGAAAATAACTTTTTGGTAAAAAAAAGATGAGCTACTTGCAATTGACAATATTCCATGTCGCTGATTGGTCGAACATCAAGGAATCATCGTCTTTGGCGATATATTTTTGTGAAATCGAGAGGACATGATGTAAACCAGTTCTGTTGTCGAATATCGGAATAGGGTAGAGTCGATAGAGGTGGTATATTTGAGGATCAATTGAGGGGATTTTCAGAACAAAAACAATATTTGAATTTATTTGGAATGCTTGGAGTTCAATGATATCAAGATATTGGGCAGCATTGGCTAATTTTGCAGGTAGAGGTAAGTTACTTTTGTGCAAATTTTGGGAAGTTTCCTGTAAAGCGCCTACTAAATGGTCAGGGGTGATTATTGAAGGGTGGATGATATCAAGTCTAGCAAATGTGATTGAATTCATTATATCGTCAAGGATGTCCTCAAGATACACATAACTCTCCATAAGTTTCTCACATAGGTCATAAACTTTGAGTTTGCCTTGAATAAATGATAAAGCGTTATTCATTTCACTAAATGATTTTTCAACTTCTCCTATGTCCTCATTGAACGTTTTTTCGTCTATTTGAAGTTTCCGTATAGTCATATTGAAATTCTTTATTACTGACGTTGTGACCGAAATTTGATTTTTCAGAAGCCGCCGTCAGAAGCATCAAGGTTACCAGTGATTGACTTGAAGATACTACCTATTCCGTCAATAAGTCCGCGTTTGTATCTTTTTGTATCCAGGGATATTTAATTCAGTTTTGATTTGACTGACTTCGAAATTTGAGTAATAAGGCTGATATGTGTATTTACTTCTGATCGGAATATACAGTGAGGGGCAATATTATGGAATAAATTCATTTTTACGAGAATAGGCAACTTCTGAGACAAATCCCGAAACACGTCGATTTTTATTTCCAAATTATGATTTTGTGGCAGATATGTCATACTAGTGACGTCATCCATCTTTGCGTGATGACGTAATCGATGATTTTTTTAAATGAGAATAGGGGTCGTGTGATAGCTCATTTAAAAGGTTATTCAATTCTCTATTCAGTGATATGAACATCAACATAATTATTTATACAGGGTGGCCAAAAAAATATTTAATTTGTAAATGAAATTAATTTTCACAAAAAGAAGTATTATAATTTATTAAATACAAAATTACATTGTACTACTGTCGGAAAACAGAAAGAAAAATTATTTGACAAATAAAAATTGCTTTTCGCTCAAATTAAATGTTCAAATTGCCACCCACCGGCCTCTTGGCAGTAATGGAACCGACGAATACATTCTTCTTGAACATTGTGGATCATTTCTGGAGGTATATTACGAATTTCCAATCTAATTCTATTTCTTGAATCTTGTAAATTCTGTGGTCTATCGATGTAAACTTTTGATTTTAAGTAACCCCATAGGAAAAAATCAAGTGGTGTAAGATCTGGAGATCTTGCGGGCCACTCTATTGTTCCTCGTCGACCAATCCATCTCCTAGGGAAACATCTGTTTAAAAAATCACGAACAGGACGTGCAAAGTGCGGAGGTGCACCGTCTGTTTTCATTTGGCGAATTACGATCATTTTCATTTGGAAACATGTCTGCAAGGGCGGGTATAAGTTCATTTTGTAAAAAATCAAGATATATTTGCCCCGTAAGAGACCCATCGAAGAAAAAAGGACCTATAATTCTATCCTCGACTATCCCTGCCCACACGTTTAGTTTTTGAGGGTGCTGAGTGTGTACCGCAGTCATCCAATGGGGATTATCTTGACTCCAATATCTGCAGTTTTGCCGATTCACTGTTCCATTTAAACAGAAGGTTGCTTCATCAGAAAAAAGGATTTCACGAATGAAGCGTGGATTTTGATTACATAAATCTTGCATTACTTCACAAAACTGCATTCGGCGATCTGGATCATCCTCATTGATTTCGTGGACATTATGAATTTTATACGGATGATATTTTTCTTTTTTCAGCACACGTAAAACAGACCTTCTAGAAATGTTTGTATCAGCTGCAATTTGCCTAGAATTAATTTGAGGATTCTCTGCCACACTTAATAATACAGACAGTTTCACATCCTCATTCATTGGTGGACGACCAGCATTTGCAACATGTTTCACGTGTCCAGTTTCTCTAAATTTCTTCTCAATTTTACTAACAGTGGATTGTGTGATAGGCGTATTAGGATATTTTATGGTAAATAAATTACATACTTCTTGTTGTGTTCTGGTTCTATCTCCATTTCCAACCATAATTAATACTTCGATTCTTTGTGTTTCAGTTAATGGGGCCATTATTTATTTATTTCATGAAATAAACTAGTCCTTATGAGAAAATGTCAAGAACTGACTTACATTTGACCCAAGCCAACTCGATTTGTAAAAACTATACTTTTTGCTATCTTTTTAGTTCTCATTATTTATTTGCCTGATATCGGAATTTATTTTTGTTTCTTCATAGTAGTAGAAAGCACACCAGTTCTAAACATTTATTTATAAACTGTTTCAAGTGTTTCAATAGTAGACAAAATCAATGAGGATGATCCAGATCGCCGATAGACCACACATTTCCAAGATTTGACAAATAGCATTACATTGGAAATTCGTAATTCAACTCCAGAAATGATCCACAATGTTTAAGAAGAATGTATTCGTCCGTTCAATTACTGCCAAGAGGCAGGTGGGTGGCAATTTGAACATTTAATTTAAGCGAAAAGCAATTTTTATTTGTCAACTAATTTGTTTTTCTGTTTTCCGACAGTAGTACAATGTAATTTTGTATAAAATAAATGATAATACTTCTTTTTGTGACAATTAATTTCATTTACAAATTAAATATTTTTATGGCCACCCTGTATAAATAATTATGTTAATGTTCATATCACTGCATAGAGAATTGAATAACCTTTCAAATGAGCTATCACACGACCCCTATTCTCATTTGAAAAAATCATCGATTACGTCATCACGCAAAGATGGATGACGTCACTAGTATGACATATCTGCCACAAAATCATAATTTGGAAATAAAAATCGACGTGTTTCGGGATTTGTCTCAAAAGTTGCCTATTCTCGTAAAAATGAATTTATTCCATAATATTGCCCCTCACTGTATAGTGCGAATAGGTGTTGATTTCACAGAGTCGGTCAGGGTTTCTAATATTCTACTGTTGTGTTCGTGAGCTTCTTGGAGTAGTTATATATCTTTATGAACAAGTAAGGTCCAGTAATCATTTGTTAGTATAATGTCATCTTCTTCATGGTAGTACACACCGAGAGTGTTATTAATCGACGAAATTTTGAATTGACAAACTGCTGATCCGAGCAGCAGAGTGAACCTGGAAATAAATTAGTTTTCAGAATACGGTATCATGCGATCGAAGTTAACTCTAGTTCTTTGATTCGTTTGCGGATTTAATAGTATCGCTGAATTTCTCAATATTTCTATAATTTCGAATGGACCATCAAATTTGTTTTGTAATTTGTCTTTTATTTGGGATTCTTTTATGTACACCTGTTCTCCTACTTCACATTCAGTCTGTTTTGAAACGGTTTTGTTAAAGCGTTCTTTTGCTTTTTGTTTAGTGCGGGCTGTCTTTGCTCTTGCTACTTTATAGTAGTACGATATTCGATTGTTTAAGTCTCTCACGTATTTTGAAATAAGAGCTTTTTGATTATAAAGAGTTTCAGGTGGTCTACTCGCCGTGTGTCCAAAGACTAACTCATGTGGGGTGAAACCATGAGTTTTATTAGTGGAATTGTTATAACATATAATTGCATATGGGAGAATATTGAAGGGATGTTCATCTGGGTTCTCTGCCATATTGACACGAATCATTTCGAGGTGTGTTCTATGAAATCTTTCGATAAAGCCGTTTGATTGCGGATTGTTTACGCTAGAGAAAGATAATTGGATGTCGTACAATGAGCATAAGTCTTTTATTAGAGTATTGTCGAATTCTCGTCCGTAATCACAGTGGATTCGTAGGGGGGTTCCAAAATGTTGAAAATATAGAAGGAGAGTGTTTACAACGGATCTAGCGGATTTATCTGGAAGTACGTAAGCTTGTGTAAATTAGCTTGTGTAAATTTTGTGAGTTCGTCTCGAATAGTGAGCGCGTAATTTTTAACTGGGACTTCGACAATGTCTATGTTAATTCGTTCAAAAGCAGTATGGCGTGTCTCTGTTATAACTAATGGGTTATTAAGATTTTTCCTACACACTTTGGTTTTGTGACATACTTGGCAATTTTTTATTAAATTTTCAACGTCTTTAGTG